TAATATGCAGATACTACTGCCATTTTACATAAGGGACTTGAGCATTTGGGGGTTTTGGTATCAGAGGGGATCCTAGAACCAATCTCCTCCCGGCTTCCAAGGCACAACTGTATGTAGTTTTTCCCACTCTGCTCAGTCACGGCAGGCATCTCCTCTTTTGCTTTCGTGATAAGCCAAAAAGCATTTGAGAACCTACTTCAGGACTTTATGAAGAGGATGAGCTAAACAGCTTCTCACCGATTTAGAAAGTTCCTTTTTAAAGATTAAATATAATGAACAATAAAATATTCTCAAATTAGTTTTTATAAACTGTTCTAAAAGGCTGGGAAATAAAAGATGAATCTTGCTATCACAGTAGCCCAAAAGAAATACCCATAAGGAACCAAATTAAGAATGTAAGGTCACAGCTATGGAAAACAAGTGAGGTAAACTGAGGAATGGGATTTTCCATACTTCATTTTCTATTCCTTTTTTACCTGAGGGGTTGCTGTAAGAAGTAAATGAGGTAATGAATGTAAAGTGAATGGAACAGTACTTCATGCATGGTAAATGCTCAGCAAACATTATTAATCTGGCACAAACTTAAGATAAAACAAAGTCTAAGTAAATGAGGTAATGAATGTAAAGTGAATGCAACAGTGCTTCATGCATGGTAAATGCAGAGGAAACGTTATTAATCTGGTGCAAACTTAAGATAAAACAAAGTCGAAGTTAACTAACTTAAAACTTGGCTAGTGTTAAAGGATATATATTTTTAAAGATAAAATCATGACTCATGGGCTTCCCTGGTGGCGCAGTGGTTGAGAATCTGCCTGCCAATGCAGGGGACACGGGTTCGAGCCCTGGTCTGGGAAGATCTCACATGCCGCGGAGCAACTAGGCCCGTGAGCCACAACTACTGAGCCTGCACGTCTGGAGCCTGTGCTCTGCAACAGGAGAGGCCGCGACAGTGAAAGGCCCGTGCACCGCGATGAAGAGTGCCCCCCGCTCGACGCAACTAGAGAAAGCCCTCGCACAGAAACGAAGACCCAACACAGCCAAAATAAATAAATAAATAAATAGCGTTCCCTTTAAAAAAATAAAATAAAATAAATGTTAGCTCAATAAATGTAAATCCTAGCACATTAAAAAAAATCTTGACTCATATAAATGTAAGATGAACACATGTCAAAGATTTTTATTTACTTCATGAAGGAAGCAGGAAGATGTTACAAGTGGTTCAAGGAGAATTCAAACAGCAGAGCTAGATCTAGGTATCTAGATAGATAAATAGAGATAGATCGACAGATGTATATAGAGATAGGTAAGCAGATAGATAATCTAAATCTGGCTATGCCATGGAATGAATTTACAAATAAATGGAAAACTGGGTTTTACTGAAACTATTGATCCCCAAAAGGAGATAATTCATTTACATATCTATAGACAAAATTCATTGCATTGATATCAATTATCTACAATTTACAGAGTTTCAAAATAGCTCTAAGACAATAAAGGGTGAAAATCCCATAGAATCTGACAGCCCAAAGGACATGATCCAGGTACAGTTTTCTATGGAAGACACCTAATAATCTTCTTTTTCATCCATTTCATACAATTTTTCTTTACACAGAAAAGAAACTCTTAAACAGAGGAGTTTTGTGTAATTAAACCGTCTCCTTTATGTAAGAAAAACTGACTATGACATCATGCATTCCAACTTTGAAGCACTGAGATAATAAAGTATAAAGAAGAAAATAAAAATCCCCATATTCCTACCACTAAGAAATAACTACTGTTAATACTTGTAGTGTATTCATCCAATTGTTTCTACATATATAGGTATGCATGTATGTATATATAGCAACTGTTTTCACATCAGTTTTAATGAACTTTGTTCTAGAAAAATACATATATATTCAATTCTATTATATATACCAATTTGTAATCTGCTTTTCCCCTTTATATCATAAACACTTTTCCTTATTATCGTCATTTTTTTTTTTTTTTTTTTTTTTGCTGTACTCGGGCCTCTCACTGTTGTGGCCTCTCCCATTGCGGAGCACAGGCTCCAGACGCGCAGGCTCAGCGTCCATGGCTCACGGGCCCAGCCGCTCCGTGGCATGTGGGATCTTTCCCAACCGGGGCACGAACCCGTGTCCCCTGCATCGGCAGGCAGACTCTCAACCACTGCACCACCAGGGAAGCCCATCATTGTCATTTTTAATAGCTACAAAATATTCCATTATATCAAAGAACCATAATCTATTTAACTAATCTACCACTATTAGAATTTTAAGTTGTAACCCATTTTTAGTTATTAGAAATAAAATAATGTGCCTCTCCTCTGACAACCTTTCTCTTGCAGTGGTATCAGCTTTGCTGAAAAAGCCAAACATTTCACGTGGTATCTGAGTTTCCAGTGGATGTTGGGATCCCTAGAGAACTTGATCCACCTCTTCTGCTTTAGCTAATGGGCCTACCTATTGCATCAGTGGCAGGCAATAGAATGAGGTTTGCCAGCTACCTGGAACCACGCTTTGTTCTCATCATCTTCCTGAGACACACCATAAAGATTCAGCATGATCAGCATGAGATCTGATGTTCAAGGCCATTTAATTCGTGATGATACTGTCAGTACAGATAGTTTTTAATACGAAAGTGTTCATATGAAAAACATATATTATTTAGGATCCAGATTCTTAGAATGAAGAGTCTGAGAAAGCAAAGCAAAAATAGTTTTCAGGTGGGTAATAAATTACAAAAACTTTTCTTGCTTTTCAGACCTTGATTTTTTATATGAATTTGCATTTAATTAGAAGCTGACGTATCGACAGGAGCACAACATAGAACAACTGGCCCTCCTCATGAGAATATCAGATCCAGTCTTGCTGTCCTCATTCTAAGGAATATTTCAGAAAGGAAACCATGATCTAAAGGAAATGTCTCAAAGCCCTCCAGGCTATCATTTAAAAGATGTGGTTGTTGGACTTGGCACACCATCAGTGATCGATATTTGCTAAACAGATAATAAAAAATAGACAACCAGCTGTGTGACTTTCGGGGGAAGGGGAATAACTTAAGTTAGTGCTTCCATTTTTTATTTCCAAAACTTACCACCTTTTCCATTTATTCATTCAAAGATAATGTACACTGACTATTTTATTCTCTTTCCATGGAGAAATTACTCCTCCCTAGTTAAAAAGGCTTCCAAAAGAGCCAGAGTTTAGTTTGGGCTAAGAAAGATACTATAATAATAATAATAATAATAATAATAATAAAATAAATCAGATTTTGTAATCAGCTGTACAGAGGACTTGTGGAAACTATATCCCCAAAGACTTCTGAAAATAGCATAAACAAGGACAGTATAGTGACCCTATAGGTATAACAGCACTTCCAAAAAACGGAAGGTAGACCAGATGAACTTTTCAGGTCTTCTCTAGCTCTGTAAAGAAATCAACTAGACTTTGTGTATTTATAAAATCAATTGGTGGTTTCCCGAAAATAAAGCAGATATAACTGTAGCTTGGAGCTTGCTACCTACTGCTCAAATGAAAGTTACATAGGATATAAAATCAGGCAACAACAATGAAGCAACATTAGTGTGCCTACTGTGTGACCCAAGTGGACACACTGACTTGAGCACTGTCAGAGACAGAACATGATGGGATGGATCATAGGGCTGAAATAACATCATAATTCTCTAGGTCTCATATTCCTTCTTATCCCATGTGGCAAAATCCGAGCCACAGAACCTACTGTATTGTACTAATTTCTTCTGATAGTGACGTCACTGTTTCTTTGACATAAACACTCTTTAGTGTTCGATACAATATGGTGTTGGGTCAATTCCATTCACTCTTTAAACGTCTAGTATTTGTCAGGCACTCTGCTAATCACAAGAAATGCCAAAAGCACTTTCTCCATATGCTGCTAACTGCCCTCTGGATTCTGTGAGTGAGCTGGTCTGCGCTCAATTATTCTCATACTCCCTCCTGGGAAATACCTGGAAATGTGCAAAAAGCTCTGGCAACATTTCCCTTCCCGTGGAAGTCTGAGCATGACTAACTGGTAAGGAACTGCAGCTGCACTAACACGCAGTCTCCCAATGGCTCCCTGAAAGGTGTCACAAGAAGGCAAGCCTTTCCTGACGTTTTCAGCAGACCCACCATGAGAATCTCAACCCAACTGAATATGAGAAGGGGTACCACTATTTCAGGTTTTTAGGAAAAAAATCTTTGTAACCATGTCCTATAGTAAGCCTTCGCTTGGGGAAAAATATATTTAACCTCAAAAAAAAAATCATCATTCAATAGTTACACATTTTTAAAGTGTTGTGAAAAACAAAGAATGGAATGGGGGAAGAGGTGTTCCTTTACTGTTAGGCTGTTTTGTATTTAATTATATTAACAGAAAAACCATCTTAAGTAAACTCTTACATTTCTCCTGTGTTGTATTCAATAATTTGAGAGATAAGAAAAATCTAGTCTTATGAAACATAGGGATTAGAAAAAAAATCTAGCACAGGACAGGGACAAATTCTAATAACATAGGTATGCTGACCTCTTGATTCTTTTAACAACTAAGCTGTAAGATGGAAATCCTGAATTTTTAAAAATCACTGCCTATACCATTGATTTTTTTTTTTTTTTTTTTTTAGCGGTACGTGGGCCTCTCACTGCTGTGGCCTCTCCCGTTGTGGAGCACAGGCTCCGGACGCGCAGGCTCAGCGGCCATGGCTCACAGGCCTAGCCACTCCGTGGCATGCGGGATACCTCCCGGACCGGGGCACGAACCCGCGTCCCCTGCATCGGCAGGCGGACTCTCAACCACCGCGTCACCAGGGAAGCCCTATACCATTGATTTTTTGCTAAAAACACAGCAAATAAACATGCACTTCTGACTTCACGACAGTTAGTACAATAGTATTTCTTTCAAAGCCCAAGTGAATTCCCAAAAGGTAAAGACAGTGATAGTAAGCAGTACCATTTCTCAGATGTTGGAAACGGGCTTCTTACCTTCGAAGAACTGCTGTAGGGCCTCGTTTTCGCCTACCACATCCATGGTGCCGTGGTCCTGGTAGTTACTTCCGCACAGAATGATTATCAGACCTCAGGAACTAAGTGCTGTCCTCTCAGCTCGAAGCCTACGAATGCTCTTGAAAAATGTTCATTTTCTTTTTATTGGAGTGAAGCATATCTTCAGCCATCAAACTGTGCCCAAAAAGATGGTTAAGTTTTCAAATTTGATCATAAAACCAGAAGGATATGTAACCACGCAAAAGAAAAATTCATGAAGAGGGAAGTGGTAGAAAATCCATCTCTCTTTCTATAGGGAACTGTTTCTACTCTGCCTTTCGTCTTTGTTTTAAGGACCTTTGTCCTTAGTGACACATGTAATTACATAAATGGGCAATAAATACATAGCCTTATCTCCTATTTGTCCTTTTACACCAATATATTTATTTCTCTGCCTCCATCAACCAGATCGATTTAGCTACAGCCTAGCAAAGATATAGGGGGGTTTTTTTCACCTAGAGAAAGAGGGCAAATCAATATAATCACTTTCATAGATACCGAGGCTTGTGATAATGAAAAGTTAGGATTTGTTAAATATTTCCAAATCTACTCGCAGTGAAAAAAATTCCTTGATACGCACCTCATCCATTTCCTCCAGTTTATTTTCTTTGAAAGTAGAAAGCATAAAGTATGAGAAGTCCCTCTAATGAGCAATAAAACTGCGTTTCTGATTTAGTAATTCTTACAACCAACTATGTGGTTCACTCCTAGCTGGTTTTACTCCTAAATATAAAGGTATACCCAAATAAATGTTTTGTTTTCACTATTTAGCTATTAACTTATCTAATAATATACTAAAAGGAATACAGTTAGGAAATTAAACTAGTCCTTTCAGCTCCTTCCTGTTTCCTTTTTCCCCAACTTTTTACTTTGAAATTTTTTAACCTATAGAAGAACTCAAAGAATAGTACCATGAAATACCCTATACTCTTCATCTAGATTTACTAATTGCTAATATTTTCTCACTTTTGCTTTTTGTCTCTCTCTCTCTCTCTCTCTCTCTCTCTCTCTCTCTCTATATATATATATATCCTTGTCATTTTTGGTTGGTTGGTTTTTATAACATTGACACTTGTTTAACAGTCCTGGAGCACTGTCTTATATAATGTCCCACATTCTGCATTTGTCAGATTATTTCATTTTTGTTAGAATTGGTATGGGTGATGTGGTATACTTCCCAATAAGTATTTTAAAACTTCACACATATAAACTGTTTAAACAAAAAAATTAATTTTATCCTGGGGAAAAAAAGAGGCTTAGAATCCTATTTTGAAAGTTATATTGGACCCCAGATCTTTAAGGACAAGTCATTAAGTTGCTTCAAGAAATAGATTTTCTATTTGTTTCAGTTCAACTTGTGCTAAACTCTCTGCTGGGTGCAGGAAATAAAAAGATGTGTAAATTATGGTCCCTGCCCTCCATAGGCTCAAATGTAGGGCATGAGAAAAATACAAGGAACTATAACTCTGATAAGAGCTGGGGAAAAAGGCAGACTCTGATAAGAGCTGGGGAAAACATCCCAAGAAAACAGAGGAAGGAAAGGTTAATTTCATCTGGGAAGATCTGGAAAGGTGTCATAAAGAGCTGGGATTTGAAGAGACTTAAACAATGGACATGTTTTTAAAAACATGAGCAATGGCTTGGAGGGGAGATAGCCCAGGTACAGCGACTGGAGTTACGGTGTATGGATGGTGGAGTGAGAAAAAAAGATGAGAAGTAGGCTGAAGAAGGGTTTGGGTAGCTTTTGAATGTTAGGCTAAATCTGAATTTGATTCCATGCATGTTCATTCTAAGCATATCTATTGATATTTTCTATTTGGGTAGTTGTGATGCATGATATAATTAAGTCTAATTTAGAAAGAAGCTGTGTTAGAGTGTGTTGATTGGGGCAGTAACTAAATTTACACCAGCTGAGAAGCTACTGCGAATCCAGATAGGCAGTAACAAAGCCTGAAGATGCTATAGAACCAAGAAGAGTTGGCTACCAACTGGATATGGGGAGCAAGGGAGAAATCAAATGTGATTTTTTAAAAGGACTTCCATGCTTTTAGGTACAGTATGAATTAAGATGTCTAAAACATGTAGCCTATGTTTTAGCTGGAAGCTCCCAGCCAAGTTTTCTGGAGGCTGTTGGAAGTTAAGTCACTATACTATATCCTCTGCCAGATGATGATTCTGGATTCTATCCAACAGTTCACCCAGAGACTTCACATAGTCAGCAGCAGAGTAATGAGTGATAGGAAAGAAATTAGATTCCATTTAATAAGCTGAGAGACAAAGGTGAGAATTGGAGTCCCAATCTCAAATAATTATAGGACCAGGTGGGTAAGTGAGTAAAATGGGTCAAAATAAGCAAAAAAACAACCATGAGAGCATATTTATAACCGACAACTGACCCTTAGCTGTGTCTCCGTCAGGGAGACACTTAGGGGTGGTGGAGCAGAGAGCAAACCAGAGAGTACCTGCCCTAAGGGTAGAGCCGCCCAAAAGGTGGAGTGTCACTCGGCTTCCTCCACATGCTGCCACTCAAGGATATGGACTCAAGGTTCTTGAAAGGGCCAACTTTAAAAGAGAAGCTGGAAATGCAGATTTTAATTTTAAATCTCATTTTTAAATGTTGCAACGAATATGTTTAAAAACAAAACAAACAGAACAATACACCAAAACATTGTCAAGGACAAATAGCACACATATGAAAGGGCAATTCAGCCTTCAGTTTGCAACATCTGGGTTGGAGGCTAAATTATAACAACGAACAGGGTTTGAGGAAAGCAAAGAGAATTTGGAAGAAAGATGTTGGAAGGGCTAGAAAATACCTCTGTATTAATTAATGAGTCCAGAGCACACAGCTGAGCACAATGCAGCTGGAGGCAACTGGGATTTAAGTGGAAGTTTCTCCCTCACAGTAAATAACAAATATTACCCATATTTCCTTGATTCTGGTCTTTACATCTCCAATGGTCTAAGATTTTCCGGTTCTACTGGGCATCCCATTTTGCACAAATTCAATGGAGACTCATCCTCTTGAATAGCAATCTAACGTAGTTGTCATTTGGATTTGTTTTGGTATTGACATTTCCTAAGAACATCAACAGATAAATTGATCAAAGCTGAGCAGCTGTGGTTAAATCTGGGGATGTAATGATGGGAACCTTGTCTCTCTTAAGACTGTCCCTGAGACTGATAGCTCCAGAATTCTTGTATTCATATCACAGTCCTTCCTCTTGAACTCAGACTGTTTGTGGGCTTGTACTTCCTTGACAGCTGCCTTTGGCAAGGGTTTCTATTCTTTAGCAAGCTTGCTCCTCTTCTCTGATATTTTTTTTCATTTTAAATAGGTTCATGCAGTTTTCCAAGCTGATTTTTATTATTTCTCTGTTAACAATTATCACTGTGGAAACTTAATGAGTTTGGGTTGAGTTTGGGTTTATGGATTTATTTTTCCTTTTTTTTTGGCCACACCATGCAGCATGCAGGATCTTAGTTCCCTGACCAGGGATCAAACATGCACCTCCTGCAGTGGAAGTGCAGAGTCTTAATCACTGGACCATCAGGGAAGTCCCTGGATTTATTTTTCTAAGAAGCCATGAGAGGACATTAAGTAGGAAGTGACATTCTGATTTTTGTTTTTAAAAGGATCATGTTGGGTGTTGTCAGTGATTGTAGAAGGGCAGGAGTGGAAGCAAGGACACCAAGTAAGAGATTATTGCAGGAGTCCAGGTGAAAGATGATGATGGCTTGGACTGAGTGGACGTAGTGGACACGGAGAGGAGTGGATGGATCCAAGATATGTTTTGGAGAGAGTTGACGGGACTTGCTGATGGATTGGACTGGGGTGGTGGTGACAGAAATGGAGAAATCAAGAATAAGCCCTAGATTGTTGCTTAAGCAACTGGGCAGGTATTCAGCCATGTTAGATTTGAGATGCCCATTTGAAATCCAAGTGGAGTGACTTTATAGGCAAATGGATACAAGAGTCTGGAGCTAGGGAAGGATTAATGCCAGGGTTGGAGATGCACAGTTATGAGCAATGGTTACATAAAGTTTTTAAGACCGTGAGCCTAAATGAGACGATCTAAAGAATATTGAAAGAGAAAGGGGCCCAGGGCAAAAATCTGGGGATTCCAGTATTTAAAAGCTGTGCTGAGAAACAGCCAGCTAGAGCTTGACCACAGATGTCACAGAAAGCTCCCAATTTCCAACCATGACTTAGAAAGACCTACACAGTCGGGCCCTGCTTAACCTTCCAATTTTCTCTTCCTACCACCAACTGCACACCAGCTCTTCTTGCCATTTTTTGTTTCTTCCTCAGGGGTTTACACCCGCTTTAAAATGCTCTCCCTACTCTCCTCCCTTCTCAAGAATGGATCTCCTCAGAGCGCTGCCTAAAAATGTCAAGTCCTAAATGTGGCCTTTCCTCACCACCTAATCTGAAGTAGTCATTCATTCTCTCTAGCCATTATCCCATTTTAATTATATATGGAGAACGTGTCCCATCTTTTAACATTTGTCTTTTTGTCCATTTCTCACTACACTGAGAGCTCCATGAGAATTCGGACCTTGCCTGTCTTGCTCACTGCTGCTCCTGTAACACCTACAACAGCTCCTGACACATATAAGCCTCTCAAATATGTGTGAATGAAAGAATGAATGGATTTAGTGTGGAGGAATTCTCTTTCTAGAAGTTCTACAAATTGTAGATATTACTGGGTCTTTATTTGCCCACATATCAAAGACAAGAAACTTAGCATCTCCTAAGATGGAACTGCATCCCATGAGGAAAACAAAAAACTATTTTCTAGCACAAACGTTAAACACAAATACATATTCATACTGCTTTGGACTGTTTTAAACATTGTGCCTTATAGGAAAGAAAAAAATCTATGTAGGGAAAAACAGTGAAGAAAATCTTTGAAAATAAAAGCTTCTGAATAAAAGTAGACCCGTTTTAGACTCTGAGTGCACAAAACAAAAAAACACAGGATTTATATGGTGGTGTGGAAGTGGGTAGGTTGGTGGTTGCAACTTCTTTCCAGGACTGAACAAACCTTTGTTCTTTCAGTGTAGATGCTTAGTCAAAGGCTGTGGGTTTTCAGAGCTGGGAGAGATGCTTGGAGAATGCTGGATCCAGCTTTATGGAGGAGGTCAGAGAGGAGTGGCCACCTGCCTAACCTCTCAGGTTTGGGGGAACCAAGCCTGGACCAGAATGTATGTCTTCTGAGCAACTCCCAATCCAGAGTTCTCTCCACTGGGCCAGGATCTCTCCCCAGCTCTGAACTTACTTATAGAAATGTATCAAAATCTTTCCCTCTTTTTTCAGAATTGGTAATCAGGGCGATTAAATTCTTTATAGAAATACTCTCAAGAATCTAAATTGTTAGTCAGCACCCTAACTCTACCCTCTCCTCCGCCTTGTCATTCCAACTAGCTCCTCTGTAGTCAGTCTTTTTCGTAGGCTTTTCCTCTCTCTGTCATAGCTCAGGGCCCGGTGCCGTACTTCTCCTACTCCAAAGTATCCCTAAAGCTCTCGTCTGATCTCATGGCTAACTACTCCCAAACTTATCTGCTGGTCTGACCATATCATTGAATTTAGACTTGTATATCCAATACCTACTTAACATTTCCACTTTGATGCTTAACGGGCATCTCAAACAATGTGTTAGACACTAAATTCTTGTCTCTATTCCACCATGTGTAATATGCCCCATCCCAGGTTTGCTCATCTCAGTAAATTGCAGCAATAGCTAAAGCCAAAAGCCTAGGATTCAGAACCGACTTCTCTTTCCTTTCCTTCTTCCAATTCATCAACAGGTCCTGTTATCCCTTTTAGGTTTTGGAATTCAGGTTTATATAATTGGACTAGTCATAATCCTTGGTTTGTAACACCCCACCATCATGGTCTGTGCATGATTCTATTAATTCATTTGTTCATGCATTTACTTTAAATGACAAATGAACCCATCATCCAATCCAGGGACTAGAACATTAACAATGATTTACTCACATATTAGCTGCTCTCAGTTCTCTCGCCTTATCTCCCCCTCATCCAGAGGTAACCCTATCCTGAACTTTATTACTATCTTGTGGTTTTTTATCAATAGTTTTGTCTCATATACACAGATGCCTAAACAATTGTTTTAGTTTTTGAACTTCATGAGAAAAGTATTATGCCATGTGTAGCCTTCTGAGTGTTTTACTTTTTCATTCAATTTATGTTGCTATGTTCCATGTGAGCACACAATACTTTACCCTCCTGTAGATGGACTTTGGGTTTTTCCCAGGACATTATTATATATGTATTCTGGGACACTTTGTGCAATTATTTCTCGAGTATGTGCCTAAAAGTGGAATTGCTAGGCTATGGGCAACTAATGTTCAACTTTTCAAATGAATGGTTTTTCAGTAGTAGATACACATTAACATTCCCATTAGCAATATGAGTAATCCTGTTGACTGAAATTCTCTTCAAAACTTGACTGTGTTGCATTTTTTTAACTTTTGCTAGTTGGATAAATTTAAACATATCACTGAGGTCTTGACTTAGTTTATCTGATTATTAACAGAAATGAAAACCTCTTAATATGTGTTTGGCCCATATGCGCTTCCAATTCTGCGAAGGACCTGTTTCAG